TTAACCCTGCGTTAGTGCACTGAGTTTTTTTTCGGCATTAGTGCAGTGGGGCGTTTGTCCACCCCAACATTTTTTTGGGTCCATAAACCATGTAAGTAAAAATTCATAAAGATTTACTCATTTATTTGGTAAAGGCATGTGTCATTATACATATGATTATATTCAGGTATGATTACATATTATATTAGTACATAAATCCATGAAAATAAAAAACAACATATATCAAAACTTAGATAAAACAAAACATTAGATCTTATTATTAAACCAATAGTAAATATCTAAATTGTTTTTTAAGCATTTTTGTCACTCTGATTCAATAGCTGACATTGTATTTTGGCACTCAATGCAAATGACAAGCAGCTTGCTATGTTTGGTATTTTCTCAGTGTGTTTATGAAAGTTAGCCATTTTGAATTAAAATAAACTTATAATAATCAATGTGAATAAAAATAATTTATCTATATTATAAATAATAAATGTGGTCACATTATAGTTATTTTAAAAATAAGAAAAACTAAATAAATATTTATAAAATTTAAAAAAAAATGTAATTAATACTGTGGTGTGTTTGGACACCCCACTGAGAACTGTTGTCTTTCTCTTACTGAAATTTCTGCAACATCGTAGTAATCTCTGAGCATGCTCTATACATGAAATCATGAAGCTACTGAAGAGGAAACAAATATTTCTTGCGAAATCTATGAATACTGCAACTTTTAAAACGTTAGGGGTGTCAAAAATCCCCACTGCACTAGCACAGTGTTAATGTTGTTTTGCATCAGGGACTGGCCCTTAGCCCTTATTTGTTTGACCTGATAATGGACGTGTTGGTGTGTGATGTGAAGTGTGAGGCTCCGTGGAGTATGCTGTTTGCAGATGATATTGTGCTGTGTGAACTTTCCCAAACCAAGGCTGAGAAGAAACTGCAAGATTGGAGGAAAGTTTGAAAGAAAGGGGCATAAAGATTAGCAAAACTAAAACAGCTTATATGACTTTGAATGGTAGAGATGAGTGTAATATTAAAATCCAAAATGTGCCACTCCCTTTTATTCCAAGTTTAAATATCTTGGGACATTTGTCGAGATGGGAGGAGGATTGAGGAGCATAGAATTCAATGTGAATGGATGAACTGGAGAAAGCTGAGCGGTGTGTTATGCGACAAGAAAGTTAGCTGCAATCCGAAAGGAAAATTCTATAAATCAGTTGTTAGACCTGCAATGTTATACGGAGCTGAGACATGGGCAATAACAAGAGCTCAAGAAAGAAAGATGGAGGTGGCTGAAATGAGAATGTTGAGATGGATGTGTGAAGAGTGTCAAGGAAGGATAGAATAAAGAATGATTTTATTAGAAGTTCTGTTAAGGTGGGCCTCTTGAACAAAAAGATGCAAGAATGTAAGTTGAGGTGGTTTGGCCACGTAGAGTGAAGAAGTGACAATTATGTTGGAAAGAAGACTGGAAAACTTGCAGTAAAAGGAAAGAGGAAAAAGGAAGATCAAAGATGCATTGGAAAGATAAGGTGGAAGAAGACTTGAACCAAAGGGACTTAAGAGCAAAGCCTTTGATAGGGAGAAATGGAAAAAAACATATTAGAGAAGGAAATGCCTGACCCCATATAAACATAGGAAAAGGCAAAGATAAAGATGATGATACAGGTTAGAATCAGAAACTTTTATATTGTAAAGAAAGTGAACATATAACTAAAATGTTTATATTTTAAAATAAAAAAAATTAACAGTTGAATAAAGAAATAACAGAAAAAAAAAATTCAAATTTCTAAGTATCCAATCAAAAGATTTTAAAAAATTTAAGCTGTGTAATAATTACATCATATCATATAATTATCATCATATTGAAAAATAATAAAAATAGTTAATAAAAATCTTTGTAAACTAAATGTTCAATTCAGCCATTAACAATTCACAAATATATTTTATTATAACATAAAAAATAAATAATTGCATTTTATTTAATTCTCAAACTTTTATTGTATAAAAAGCTATCAATATGTAGAAATTGAAGTTCTAAGATGAAAATGGATAAAACTGTTTAAAATTATTTTTGGTAACATGTAAAATTTATTTAATTACTCCACATGTAAATTAATTTTAAGGAGGAAGGGTAACATATTTGATGACATTAATTAGTAAATTATACTTGTGCCAAACAGTCTCAACTGAATCATTGTTAGAAAACAATCCATGAATTTTATCAGTTGGTTCGTTACAAGTAACACTACTAATACATGTTGATAAATGAAGATGATCTAAGTTGTTACAATCAAACAAGTAATGATTCAGGGTTGCATTATCCTGCATACAATAAGCACAAATAGCTGATGAACTCAAGTCCATATATAAATTTTTTCATACTAAAGGATATTTGTTTAATCAAATCTGAACTATCATTCTCTTTACAATAAACAACAGTTGTTGGTAGTAAATATAAAGACACCAACAATTAACTAGTATTTTTAAATACCATGTGCGTTATATTTGGCCTGAAGTAAATTATCCCTTTCTTCTCTGAAGATAGGATTTTCAAACTCACATAGGATAGTGTTTGTATAATATTTTATAATATCTGGAGATGAGTCAATTAGAGAGAGTGAAACACATATTCTATTAAGTAGTCCATCCAGTTTGATATACCAATAATGTTTTAATAGTCTATTTGATGAAAGTTTCTTCAGAGTAGAGTATGCCACACATTCCAAAGAGGTAGTGTCTGAAATTTATGTTTTTCAAAAAACTAAGAGTTAGTTTAACAAAACGTTTTTGGGAGAATTCTAGACCCAATTCAGATCTAATTGCATATGAGGGATTGACCTCTCAAAACCAAAAAGATGATGAAAGAACATTAGCTATATCAAGTCAATGTCCTCAAAATAAAAAGGTCCCCCATAAGGATAGGCCATAGGACCAACTAGAAGTAAATAAGGAAGCAGCTAGTTTCTTTCACAGAACCATCTGGCTATTCCTCATCCTTCTCAGGATATCAATCACAGCTTTAATTTTAGAATAAGCCTTACCTTTAATGTAAGGTATGTAATCTATGTACAAACTTGTAAAAGACAACTGAATTCCCAAATAGATAATTTCGTTGACAATACTTATCTCTCTTTTATTTAAGAAAAACTTGACTGTTTTTCTCATCCTACCATCTTGTCTAAAGTTTATTAGCTTCGACTTAAAAAAATTAATATGTAATCCCGAGGTAGAGGAATAAGCAAATAATCTATCCAATTTCTTTTGTAAATAAACCGATGTAAAAGATAACACTACTGTGTCATCTGCAAATTGCAGTAAATGCACACCATATTCACCCATAGAGATGGAATCATTACTCAAGTCATCAAAAGCATAAACTATATCATTAACATAGCAGATAAACAATAAGGGACTAAGAGAATCTTTTTGTGGTAAGCCCTTCTCTAGTGGATAAACCTCAGTTAACCCAACACTGGTAAAAATCCTTGCCTTCAAACCTGAGAATAAATTTTGGATAATTTTAATAAATTTATCAGACGTCTCAAGCATTTCTAATTTAGAAACCAATACTTCTATTATAACACTGTCGAAAGCTTTTTCATAGTCTAGGAAAGCAGCCAACAAATGTTATCTTTTCTTAGAAAGTTGCCTACAAATCAGGGAATGAAGAATTAGAATATTACAAAAAGTGCTCTTCTGCAGTTGGAAAGCAAATTGTACAGGTGAAATAAGATTTCTCTCTCTAAGCCATATACCCAGCATTTTTGCAATAATGGAAGTAAAAATTTTCCAAACAACAGGTAACAACAATATGGGACGAAAGTTAGTAGAATCACCAATTAAACCCTTTTTGTGAATCACTTTAATCTTTATCTCCAACCATGATTTTGGAACTATTGCAGAATCATAAACTCGATTAAATAATTTAACCAAGTGAGATACTAATGAACTCCTAGAACAAGGGTTGCCAAACGTTTTTGATTGTCGACCTCCTACAGTTTCGAAACCTCACAAAAAAAAAGCACTTACTATTTTAATATATTTCTTTTAATTTTGCATTTTTTTCATTTATTGTATATTTGTTAATAATAATTTTTGTAACTGATAATCAGTGAGACGGATAAGCTTGATAATAGATCCCCCAATAATGTTATATCAACCCCCAGGGGTCAATATTGACCACTTTGGCGACCCCTGTCCTAGAATAAGCAATTACAGACGGTGAAATATTGTCTATCCCAGAAGCAAAATGTAATCACATCTTTTGGATTTCAATATTTACCTCTGAGGCTGAGATAGGGAGGTCCAAAAAAGAATCAGTCACTGGAGAAGCCACTGGGAAGGGCAGGATATGGATGCATTTAAACCGAATAACTGCTTATAATAGTTATACAAACCTACCAAAGAAATCTCATGGTCTGGAATACTCCTAACCCCCTGAAGATGGCCTACACAATACCAAAAAATTCTGGAGTCTCTTTTGCCAGTTGTAAGCCAAAATTACAATAATATTTTCTCTTTTCACCCTAATAAATAAATTATATTATTTTTTCAAATTAAGAAACATGGTAAGGTCAGTCTGATCATTTGATCTATGAAATTTGCCAAGGGCATAATTCCTTGCCTTCTTCTATTTACAACAAGATTCATCAAACCAGGGAGCATGAATACTCCTGATATACCATGCCTTCAATTAGTATGTCAAGCCTCTTTGCTATAAAACATAAATCAGATATAATTGAGTTGTAAAAATCATCAATGAGTTCGAATTCAGAATCCTTATTCTGAAAACACTGCTTAGCTGCATCTTCAAACATTTCAATTTTTGAGTCATTCCAAACAAAATGGAACCTAGTAAAATAGGACCTTACAACCAAAGGAAGTCTCTTATCAGTAGATAAATACAGTCCCACTGGAAAATGGTTGGAGAATGGGAGAGGTTCATCACAGAAGGACTCTACCGTAAGGGCCAAATTTTGAGAGATGATTATATAATCAATAACAGAGCTACCTACTTTTGACAGAAAAGTTAGTTCTCCCAGGTAGTCTCCCACAATTCGACCATTAAGAAGAATTAGATCTTTTCAATCAGCCACCGTGAAAACTGTCTACCAGCTGTGCCAACCTTTAAGTCCTTAGACAATCTTGCATTGAAAATGTGTGGTGATGCCTCATTTAAGTATGAATCAAATTCTTCACCTATATGGACATTAAAATCACTCATAACAACAACTCCATCATAAGACCAAGAAGTCAAAACAGAAGAAAACCGATCAAGGCATAAGCCTTGCTGCTTTAATGAGCTAACATATGTCACCAACATCAAAACTCTCCTAGAGCTGTGATTCAAGGAATAAGATAGTCCTATCACCATTAAGTCAGAGTAAGTCTCTAATAACTCATAATGCCTCTATCCGCATCATAGAAGAACAAAATACCACTGTGGAGCCTACCTGGACCCAATGACTTTTCAGCTGAAACCATAAAATACTTACAATTAACTGGTAGAGACTTGCATATAAAATTCTGGTCCATCGAAACCATCCAAGTTTCAACAAGGGCCAAACAAATTAAATCTAGTCTGTTAGTCAAATGATTTAATAACAAACATTCAGTACCAAAACCATGATAATTCCAAAAGAACATAGAATCCAAATGACAGTCTGATCCAGCATATTCCAGATATAAAGATGCTGAAGTTCTCTCAGAACCCTTTCTCAAGTGAAAAGGAAAATTTAAAATAAAAAAGCAGGAACTTCTATTAATTGTTGTCCTGAAACAGAATAAGTATATCTCTTTTCATCCACATACACAACACAATGTCAGGCAAATAGACACGTCAACCTGTTTCATGATAATCTTTTAAGTAAGTAACCAAAGTTTTTTACAACAAAGTCGAGAATTCAACAATAAATCAAGCACCAACTTAAATGTAACTGAATTTTCCCTATCCTTCTGCTGAATCTTCAATCTAAATTTTTGCAATAAATAATTCCAACATTTCCATGACATCAACTGTATACAATAGAATTCCAGAGTTTTACCCCTGGAACGGGAAATACCAACAATATTTTGCACAGATAAGTCAACTGTATCCAACTCCATAGACAATAATTTAACTAGGTATTCTTGAATATCCAATTCGTGCAGAACACTTTGTTAAACATCATAAAATCGATTCTTTTGGAAGCATTAACCTGTCTACCATAAGCAAAAGAGTGCAACTCACTCAATGATATCATCCAAAGGAAATTGATCACACTATTCCAACTTATCTAAATGCAAACACACTTTAGAAAGGCCACACTCAAGTTTTTTAACCAAGGACAAAGTTGACTGATTATCCAGCTTCAATTTAGCAAGCTTATCTTTGATGCACTTCAACTGCAGCACAACTGTACTCAAAGTTGATTCCAAATACTGTTGTATGGATAACCTTCCCTCTAAGGGGATTGCTTCTTTAAGTAATGTTCTAGCTTTGGACATTTAGCTTCCAGAACACTTGGAGAACAATGATGCTTAGTTCCTTTCTGGTCATCTTTGCTCTGCTTTAATCCTATTGGGGGAGTTCGAGGAAACATATCCAAAAAATGAACGACTTGTAATAACAAAAAACAAAATACAATAGGGTGACAAAGCGTGATAAATAAATACAATTCAAAAAGAAGTTATAATTGTAATAATCTGTAATAGCAGTAACTCAACGCTAAAAGTCACCAGCAACAATGACTGCTCAGCAGCACACCATAATATATAATATTATGTATCATAATAAATGAGCATTTCACATAATTTAGTTATAGATGATAATTTAGCATCTATCATTATGTATTATAATTCACAAAGAACTTGCAAATATAGTAAAAAATAAACATAATTAATAACTGGAATATTAAAGTCTGATATGAAAGTCATGCATATTTTGCCAAGCAATAAAAGACTAAGTAAAAATTGAATAATTTCTTAATTTTTTACCATATTTGTTTTCTTTTTTGTGAGAAAGAGATTCTTCAGATACGATGCTGGAAACTGGACTTGATCTTTGTGGTCGAAAGTTTTCTGTAGTGATGACTTCTTTCTGTTAAGGTAGAGGCATTTTAATATTGATTAAACACAAAAATTTGCATCATTAATTTTACATATTATGTACGTTAATATTTACTTCTTTGGCAGGGATTATCACATGCCCATCGATATTCTGTCCTTTCTGAACAAATAATTTCCCATGTCTGGCTTTCAGTTCTCGTGGATGAGGTGTATCATGTCTTATAAACCTTGTCTACAATAAATAATTTAAACAAATTTATGAATATTACATTAAAATAATACCCCTAAAAATTTATATATTTACTTCTTTATCATCATTTTCTTCATTTTCTTCAGCAAATGTTACTGAATAAGCTCTATTCTGAGGAATTTCTTCCCACTTTTCTTGTTCTAATTCACCATGAAGATTTTCTATGAATATTAAATATATTGTAATTATAAAAACAAAATACTAATAATTAGATTATTATTATTATTTTGTAAATATTTATGCTTGAATAATTCATAAAACATACACAATGAAACCAGTGTTAATACACTGGTTTCATAATCACTGATAATGAAACCAGTGTTAATACACTGGTTTCATTATCAGTGGCGTGCCATGACATTTGATGATAGGTAAGCTGTGTTTCTGTAAGAAGCCGACACCCAGGGGCAATCAGTCAATTGCATGTCAGTGATGATCTAGGGCAGGCATGGCCAACATATGGCCCGTCTAATCAATTTATGTGGCCCGCGATTAATCTTTCAATATTAGCTACTTAAGTCCAAATATCTCGACGAAAAATTCTGACGCCTAAAAAAAAGAAAAGGTCAACAAGTAACTGTGCGATTAGAGTTAACGCTCCATTACAAATGTTTTCAGCACAGCATAGAATGTTGATAATGTGAAAAATGTATCTGTAATCTCTATGTACAATTTAGTCTCTACGGGGTGACACAACAATGAGATCTCGCACCACCTCAAAATCTTGCTAGGGCAGCCTCTGGTTTGGGCCATGAAATAAGTTTTCTTTCCAATTCGGCCCGGGGACAAAAACTGTTGGCCACACCTGGTCTAGGGTCCATTCGTATCGTTTATTCGATAAGCCAGTAAAAACCGTAGACTTTTCTAAATGTATTTTTAATATCACAATTACTTTTTGAATCGCTAGCCACGATATAAGGACTACAATTAAAAATAAAATAATAAAAACTTACTTAGTGAAATAAAATGCGTGGTGGATGTACCAGTACATACCTGGTACAAAATAGTCTTCAATTGTATGAATATACTTTTAAAGAAAATTATAATTAAATATAGCTTTGTAAAGAAACGTACATAAAAATATAAAATATTCTTTACTTTTTAAATCTTAAAACAATGCACTTAGTAAGATAGTCCCTACGAGTGGCTAATGGATGGAATCGAAGACGGTTGCAGAGCCTGCATACACGTGGACTGCCAAATCCCCAGGATGCCGATACCGATCAATGTCAAATACCTCTTTTGTCGCATCACTAGTAAATCTCAAAGGACGCGACAGGACTGTTGTAGATTTTAAATGTTTCTCACCATAGCCGTAAAAATATAAATGTGTTAAACTTAAAGTCATTTGTTTTCTAACTAATTCGTTTTAGGACCAAGTGTCCTCAGAAATTTCCAAAATTTCCAACTTTTCGGTCACTTTCGTTGAACTGGAAAAATTTCTGTCTTTATTACATTAATAATATGAAGAAATCAGTCTCCACTGTACTCGGCTATAAATTGGTTCGGTTAAGCTTTTGTTTAAGTAAAATTTCAGCTCTTTCACCAGGGTTTTATTTATGTCCCCAATTCCCTAATCTCTTAATTATTTAACTACTTCTTAAGTAGAAATAAGTCGAAACTGGTTACTTTGTACTTGAATATTTGTAGTCTCGGGAAAGAAGTGGAAAGACAACAGATACATAAATCGTAAATTTAAGGAAAATAAATTCTAGAGCTTTTTCTGTACCTCGTGCATCTCTCTCATTCATTAAATTTAGTTGTAAGTTATGCTGTCAAAGTAACAGTTAATTTTTTAACATTGTACAAGAATTGTACATGTTTTTTTCTACATCCCCTTAAAGATGGGATATACGAAATCATAATATCACTGGTTTAACATTGAAATCTGTGAGTAATATAAAATCGGAGAGCGAAATAAAAATATCAAATATTTTAATGGATTTTTTTAAACTCCTGTCAACTATACAGAACTATCGTAAAAACATACCAGTAAATTCTTATCAGTTGGGTTAAGTTATAAATCTACTCGCAATTCGGGTAATCGAGCAAGGACGGCCAAATATCTAGCGGGTAGGCAGCTAACAGCCCAGAACCGATCCTGGATAGAATTGGATGCGGTATACGTGTAGCATCCACCCAAGGTCCTAGGCTTCCATCGGCTAAACCGGGTGAGGTTGGTGCTCTGTAAATTGCATGCACGAATCTGGCTTTTTGGATGCTGACAATATAGTNACTAAATGTTCAATTCAGCCATTAACAATTCACAAATATATTTTATTATAACATAAAAAATAAATAATTGCATTTTATTTAATTCTCAAACTTTTATTGTATAAAAAGCTATCAATATGTAGAAATTGAAGTTCTAAGATGAAAATGGATAAAACTGTTTAAAATTATTTTTGGTAACATGTAAAATTTATTTAATTACTCCACATGTAAATTAATTTTAAGGAGGAAGGGTAACATATTTGATGACATTAATTAGTAAATTATACTTGTGCCAAACAGTCTCAACTGAATCATTGTTAGAAAACAATCCATGAATTTTATCAGTTGGTTCGTTACAAGTAACACTACTAATACATGTTGATAAATGAAGATGATCTAAGTTGTTACAATCAAACAAGTAATGATTCAGGGTTGCATTATCCTGCATACAATAAGCACAAATAGCTGATGAACTCAAGTCCATATATAAATTTTTTCATACTAAAGGATATTTGTTTAATCAAATCTGAACTATCATTCTCTTTACAATAAACAACAGTTGTTGGTAGTAAATATAAAGACACCAACAATTAACTAGTATTTTTAAATACCATGTGCGTTATATTTGGCCTGAAGTAAATTATCCCTTTCTTCTCTGAAGATAGGATTTTCAAACTCACATAGGATAGTGTTTGTATAATATTTTATAATATCTGGAGATGAGTCAATTAGAGAGAGTGAAACACATATTCTATTAAGTAGTCCATCCAGTTTGATATACCAATAATGTTTTAATAGTCTATTTGATGAAAGTTTCTTCAGAGTAGAGTATGCCACACATTCCAAAGAGGTAGTGTCTGAAATTTATGTTTTTCAAAAAACTAAGAGTTAGTTTAACAAAACGTTTTTGGGAGAATTCTAGACCCAATTCAGATCTAATTGCATATGAGGGATTGACCTCTCAAAACCAAAAAGATGATGAAAGAACATTAGCTATATCAAGTCAATGTCCTCAAAATAAAAAGGTCCCCCATAAGGATAGGCCATAGGACCAACTAGAAGTAAATAAGGAAGCAGCTAGTTTCTTTCACAGAACCATCTGGCTATTCCTCATCCTTCTCAGGATATCAATCACAGCTTTAATTTTAGAATAAGCCTTACCTTTAATGTAAGGTATGTAATCTATGTACAAACTTGTAAAAGACAACTGAATTCCCAAATAGATAATTTCGTTGACAATACTTATCTCTCTTTTATTTAAGAAAAACTTGACTGTTTTTCTCATCCTACCATCTTGTCTAAAGTTTATTAGCTTCGACTTAAAAAAATTAATATGTAATCCCGAGGTAGAGGAATAAGCAAATAATCTATCCAATTTCTTTTGTAAATAAACCGATGTAAAAGATAACACTACTGTGTCATCTGCAAATTGCAGTAAATGCACACCATATTCACCCATAGAGATGGAATCATTACTCAAGTCATCAAAAGCATAAACTATATCATTAACATAGCAGATAAACAATAAGGGACTAAGAGAATCTTTTTGTGGTAAGCCCTTCTCTAGTGGATAAACCTCAGTTAACCCAACACTGGTAAAAATCCTTGCCTTCAAACCTGAGAATAAATTTTGGATAATTTTAATAAATTTATCAGACGTCTCAAGCATTTCTAATTTAGAAACCAATACTTCTATTATAACACTGTCGAAAGCTTTTTCATAGTCTAGGAAAGCAGCCAACAAATGTTATCTTTTCTTAGAAAGTTGCCTACAAATCAGGGAATGAAGAATTAGAATATTACAAAAAGTGCTCTTCTGCAGTTGGAAAGCAAATTGTACAGGTGAAATAAGATTTCTCTCTCTAAGCCATATACCCAGCATTTTTGCAATAATGGAAGTAAAAATTTTCCAAACAACAGGTAACAACAATATGGGACGAAAGTTAGTAGAATCACCAATTAAACCCTTTTTGTGAATCACTTTAATCTTTATCTCCAACCATGATTTTGGAACTATTGCAGAATCATAAACTCGATTAAATAATTTAACCAAGTGAGATACTAATGAACTCCTAGAACAAGGGTTGCCAAACGTTTTTGATTGTCGACCTCCTACAGTTTCGAAACCTCACAAAAAAAAAGCACTTACTATTTTAATATATTTCTTTTAATTTTGCATTTTTTTCATTTATTGTATATTTGTTAATAATAATTTTTGTAACTGATAATCAGTGAGACGGATAAGCTTGATAATAGATCCCCCAATAATGTTATATCAACCCCCAGGGGTCAATATTGACCACTTTGGCGACCCCTGTCCTAGAATAAGCAATTACAGACGGTGAAATATTGTCTATCCCAGAAGCAAAATGTAATCACATCTTTTGGATTTCAATATTTACCTCTGAGGCTGAGATAGGGAGGTCCAAAAAAGAATCAGTCACTGGAGAAGCCACTGGGAAGGGCAGGATATGGATGCATTTAAACCGAATAACTGCTTATAATAGTTATACAAACCTACCAAAGAAATCTCATGGTCTGGAATACTCCTAACCCCCTGAAGATGGCCTACACAATACCAAAAAATTCTGGAGTCTCTTTTGCCAGTTGTAAGCCAAAATTACAATAATATTTTCTCTTTTCACCCTAATAAATAAATTATATTATTTTTTCAAATTAAGAAACATGGTAAGGTCAGTCTGATCATTTGATCTATGAAATTTGCCAAGGGCATAATTCCTTGCCTTCTTCTATTTACAACAAGATTCATCAAACCAGGGAGCATGAATACTCCTGATATACCATGCCTTCAATTAGTATGTCAAGCCTCTTTGCTATAAAACATAAATCAGATATAATTGAGTTGTAAAAATCATCAATGAGTTCGAATTCAGAATCCTTATTCTGAAAACACTGCTTAGCTGCATCTTCAAACATTTCAATTTTTGAGTCATTCCAAACAAAATGGAACCTAGTAAAATAGGACCTTACAACCAAAGGAAGTCTCTTATCAGTAGATAAATACAGTCCCACTGGAAAATGGTTGGAGAATGGGAGAGGTTCATCACAGAAGGACTCTACCGTAAGGGCCAAATTTTGAGAGATGATTATATAATCAATAACAGAGCTACCTACTTTTGACAGAAAAGTTAGTTCTCCCAGGTAGTCTCCCACAATTCGACCATTAAGAAGAATTAGATCTTTTCAATCAGCCACCGTGAAAACTGTCTACCAGCTGTGCCAACCTTTAAGTCCTTAGACAATCTTGCATTGAAAATGTGTGGTGATGCCTCATTTAAGTATGAATCAAATTCTTCACCTATATGGACATTAAAATCACTCATAACAACAACTCCATCATAAGACCAAGAAGTCAAAACAGAAGAAAACCGATCAAGGCATAAGCCTTGCTGCTTTAATGAGCTAACATATGTCACCAACATCAAAACTCTCCTAGAGCTGTGATTCAAGGAATAAGATAGTCCTATCACCATTAAGTCAGAGTAAGTCTCTAATAACTCATAATGCCTCTATCCGCATCATAGAAGAACAAAATACCACTGTGGAGCCTACCTGGACCCAATGACTTTTCAGCTGAAACCATAAAATACTTACAATTAACTGGTAGAGACTTGCATATAAAATTCTGGTCCATCGAAACCATCCAAGTTTCAACAAGGGCCAAACAAATTAAATCTAGTCTGTTAGTCAAATGATTTAATAACAAACATTCAGTACCAAAACCATGATAATTCCAAAAGAACATAGAATCCAAATGACAGTCTGATCCAGCATATTCCAGATATAAAGATGCTGAAGTTCTCTCAGAACCCTTTCTCAAGTGAAAAGGAAAATTTAAAATAAAAAAGCAGGAACTTCTATTAATTGTTGTCCTGAAACAGAATAAGTATATCTCTTTTCATCCACATACACAACACAATGTCAGGCAAATAGACACGTCAACCTGTTTCATGATAATCTTTTAAGTAAGTAACCAAAGTTTTTTACAACAAAGTCGAGAATTCAACAATAAATCAAGCACCAACTTAAATGTAACTGAATTTTCCCTATCCTTCTGCTGAATCTTCAATCTAAATTTTTGCAATAAATAATTCCAACATTTCCATGACATCAACTGTATACAATAGAATTCCAGAGTTTTACCCCTGGAACGGGAAATACCAACAATATTTTGCACAGATAAGTCAACTGTATCCAACTCCATAGACAATAATTTAACTAGGTATTCTTGAATATCCAATTCGTGCAGAACACTTTGTTAAACATCATAAAATCGATTCTTTTGGAAGCATTAACCTGTCTACCATAAGCAAAAGAGTGCAACTCACTCAATGATATCATCCAAAGGAAATTGATCACACTATTCCAACTTATCTAAATGCAAACACACTTTAGAAAGGCCACACTCAAGTTTTTTAACCAAGGACAAAGTTGACTGATTATCCAGCTTCAATTTAGCAAGCTTATCTTTGATGCACTTCAACTGCAGCACAACTGTACTCAAAGTTGATTCCAAATACTGTTGTATGGATAACCTTCCCTCTAAGGGGATTGCTTCTTTAAGTAATGTTCTAGCTTTGGACATTTAGCTTCCAGAACACTTGGAGAACAATGATGCTTAGTTCCTTTCTGGTCATCTTTGCTCTGCTTTAATCCTATTGGGGGAGTTCGAGGAAACATATCCAAAAAATGAACGACTTGTAATAACAAAAAACAAAATACAATAGGGTGACAAAGCGTGATAAATAAATACAATTCAAAAAGAAGTTATAATTGTAATAATCTGTAATAGCAGTAACTCAACGCTAAAAGTCACCAGCAACAATGACTGCTCAGCAGCACACCATAATATATAATATTATGTATCATAATAAATGAGCATTTCACATAATTTAGTTATAGATGATAATTTAGCATCTATCATTATGTATTATAATTCACAAAGAACTTGCAAATATAGTAAAAAATAAACATAATTAATAACTGGAATATTAAAGTCTGATATGAAAGTCATGCATATTTTGCCAAGCAATAAAAGACTAAGTAAAAATTGAATAATTTCTTAATTTTTTACCATATTTGTTTTCTTTTTTGTGAGAAAGAGATTCTTCAGATACGATGCTGGAAACTGGACTTGATCTTTGTGGTCGAAAGTTTTCTGTAGTGATGACTTCTTTCTGTTAAGGTAGAGGCATTTTAATATTGATTAAACACAAAAATTTGCATCATTAATTTTACATATTATGTACGTTAATATTTACTTCTTTGGCAGGGATTATCACATGCCCATCGATATTCTGTCCTTTCTGAACAAATAATTTCCCATGTCTGGCTTTCAGTTCTCGTGGATGAGGTGTATCATGTCTTATAAACCTTGTCTACAATAAATAATTTAAACAAATTTATGAATATTACATTAAAATAATACCCCTAAAAATTTATATATTTACTTCTTTATCATCATTTTCTTCATTTTCTTCAGCAAATGTTACTGAATAAGCTCTATTCTGAGGAATTTCTTCCCACTTTTCTTGTTCTAATTCACCATGAAGATTTTCTATGAATATTAAATATATTGTAATTATAAAAACAAAATACTAATAATTAGATTATTATTATTATTTTGTAAATATTTATGCTTGAATAATTCATAAAACATACACAATGAAACCAGTGTTAATACACTGGTTTCATAATCACTGATAATGAAACCAGTGTTAATACACTGGTTTCATTATCAGTGGCGTGCCATGACATTTGATGATAGGTAAGCTGTGTTTCTGTAAGAAGCCGACACCCAGGGGCAATCAGTCAATTGCATGTCAGTGATGATCTAGGGCAGGCATGGCCAACATATGGCCCGTCTAATCAATTTATGTGGCCCGCGATTAATCTTTCAATATTAGCTACTTAAGTCCAAATATCTCGACGAAAAATTCTGACGCCTAAAAAAAAGAAAAGGTCAACAAGTAACTGTGCGATTAGAGTTAACGCTCCATTACAAATGTTTTCAGCACAGCATAGAATGTTGATAATGTGAAAAATGTATCTGTAATCTCTATGTACAATTTAGTCTCTACGGGGTGACACAACAATGAGATCTCGCACCACCTCAAAATCTTGCTAGGGCAGCCTCTGGTTTGGGCCATGAAATAAGTTTTCTTTCCAATTCGGCCCGGGGACAAAAACTGTTGGCCACACCTGGTCTAGGGTCCATTCGTATCGTTTATTCGATAAGCCAGTAAAAACCGTAGACTTTTCTAAATGTATTTTTAATATCACAATTACTTTTTGAATCGCTAGCCACGATATAAGGACTACAATTAAAAATAAAATAATAAAAACTTACTTAGTGAAATAAAATGCGTGGTGGATGTACCAGTACATACCTGGTACAAAATAGTCTTCAATTGTATGAATATACTTTTAAAGAAAATTATAATTAAATATAGCTTTGTAAAGAAACGTACATAAAAATATAAAATATTCTTTACTTTTTAAATCTTAAAACAATGCACTTAGTAAGATAGTCCCTACGAGTGGCTAATGGATGGAATCGAAGACGGTTGCAGAGCCTGCATACACGTGGACTGCCAAATCCCCAGGATGCCGATACCGATCAATGTCAAATACCTCTTTTGTCGCATCACTAGTATATCTCAAAGGACGCGACAGGGCTGTTGTAGATTTTAAACGTTTCTCACCATAGCTGTAAAAATCTAAATATGTTAA